TCCAGCACCACAATTCAAAAGCATCAATTCTTCGGCGGTCAGCCTTCTTTATGGTCCAGCTCTCACTTCCATATGTCACTACTGGAAACCATAGCTTTGACTGCGGACCTTTGTCACCAAGTCCTGTCTCTGCTTTTTAAGATGTTGTCTAGATTTGTTTCTCCTTGAAGCTAGAAAGTTCTTAAAACACTATTCTTAAGGACAAGTGGGGATTACATGACTTTCCAGATGTTGTTGGCTTATAGTTCCCATAATTCCTAGCAAACTGCAGTGCTGACTGCATCTGGTAGGAATTGACCTCCAATAAGAACCAGAAGTTCTTTAGCTGCTCATCAATAGCAACCTCTCGCAATGCTGAAATAATGACTATTGGGATCGCTGGTTTTTCAGGATAAAGGAGGTACTGTACTTATAGAATTGGGGTCATCCCAGAAGCAGCTTTTACAGTGTGTGGCCTCTCTCAAATATTGCATTTTGTCCCTGCCTCTTTCATTTCCTCTCACCCCCTCCTAATCTGTTAAGAAAGAAAAGACATCATAGTTGCATGAGGCCTTTCAACCGGTAGCACTCGTAGCTGTATATTCGGGAGCACCCTTGATTTCAAAAGGTTAAAAAGAAGCCAGGGACAGTGCACTTAGATTGGGGTGAGTGCATAGTAGGTAAGCAGTAGGAAAAGATACAATTTGTCTTCAGATGTATAGGCAGACTAAGGATATTAAAGGAAACATTGCACTTACCGACGAAACTGTGTTTCGCTGTTTGGAAAGAGGGAAGAACAAAACACCGTTTGTTACCTTGCAAAAGTCATTTGCTTGCATTCATCTCCTTACTAAATAAACAGCATGGATAAAAAACAGAAACAGAAAATGCCACTCCCATGTAGATTGCTGGCAAAGTGGAGAAAATTAAAACCCCATTTAAGGCAAACAAAATATTTGCTTTGAATGAGTTTTTTGGTGGTATGATTTCTCAGTGGATTCTAATGCAGCCTGTAGGGCCCATAATGGGCCTCAAGGAATTAAATTGGCCCCCAAGATGCCCTCAGTGTGTCCATCGCTGATCCACAAGATAGATCATTAATGAAATAAATTCCTTGGGATTTCCAGAGTCTAGTTGCAGCTGCTAAAAAGGGCCCACCAAAAATCAGAGCCAAACCCCCACAAGTAATACATAATTGGAAGAGAGCAAGGTTGAAGCAAATAAGCCTGTCCCCATTACATTTACTTTAAGCCCACTTTTCACTCATTCAGGGTTAAAATGTGGCAGAACAAACGTGCTTACCTCAGGGGGGAAGGGGTTGCTTTCTGGGTAAGTCACCACCTATAATAAAAAAATAATAATATAGATCTTCAAAATATTTAAGATAGGAGTATGATACATGACATTTCAGAATCACCTTCTTCCCTTGTTTCTAATTAAGGAAATAATTAAGGAAATAATGCTTCGCACTTTTGCTTGCTAAAGCAAGAATAGTTCAACAATATTTAAAACATAGTGAAGGGAAACTACATGTACATACCTTTACTTTGCCTGCATTAATTGAAACAGACTGTAAGAGAAAGAAGAGCCGTATGGTAGTTACAACTATTTCAGATATAATGCAGTTAGTAAGAATTTTTACCTCAGGTTACAGCATTATCACCATTCCCCACTAAACTAAGGGCTTGATCACATCTGCCAAAAGAACCCCAGTTAGACCATTTTGGCCATTATTTTGATCATTTCAAAATTTTCCATTTCTGCTAACATTGATTCCTTATCATTTCAGCATGTGTGAACGTTGCTGTCAATTTATTTCCTTTGTGAAAGGGTGGGGTTTTGGGTGCTGTGGCCACTTCATGACCCCTGTGCTTCTCTCTCTCTCTCTCTCTTTTTAAGGGGGATATAAGAAAACTGCTAGTAGGAGCCGCCACCACTACCACAAACATTGCTCAGAAGGAAAGCCACCCCCCTCCCGTTGCTTGAGGGAGAAAGGGACATTTCCTGCTTTGAATTGTCAAGAAAAGGATGTTGTATGAAGTCTCCTCTCTCTCTCTCTCTCTCTCTCTCTCTCTCTCTCTCTCGTTCTCTCTTTTTTTTTAAACCCTGCTCACAATGGAAGTGTTTTAAAACTTGCTTCCTTCTCCTGGTGCTGTGCAGGAGAGAAAAGAAAAATGAAATCCAAGAACTCAGAGGAAGAGATGTGTAGGGAAAAAGGGAAAGGGGGATGAGTGAGTGAAGGAGGGAAAGAAAGAAGGGGAAAGGTGAGGAGGAGAGAAACCTCATACCGTTCTATCACTATATTACATTTTGTTAAACAAAATTAAAGAAATGGACAAGAGAGACCTGATTGCCCCAAGAAATGCAGTAGTAGAGAAAATGAAATGATACAAAATTTAAGAGCAGTGTAGCCTGCTACAACGGTTCAAGCAGAAGTAAATGAATCAACTCTAAACAATGTAAATACTCCCAATGATACATATACCATATGACCACTGGAAAAATATGTATCAGCATATGCTACCATTTGTACTGATTTAGGCTTTACATCATGTGAGTGATGGAGAAAGTGCTGAAAGAATTAGTACAGAATCAATTACTTTTACAGAACCAAACAGCTCATTCCATGTGAATGAGCCTTTAGATCCAATGGTGCTTACTTGGCTGGTTATTGCCATAGTTATTTTGTTCTGGTTGAATTTATTGTCCATATGCTTAAATATTACAATTTTGGAAAACCACAATTAGTCAATATCATTCAGATAACATTTATTGATGTCTTTCTCTTGTGTCCTAGGTTGATTCACACAACCATTTTCAAGAGGTTTCAGATAAAACATTGTGTAAAGATCTTCGTAATGGTTTGCTTCATGTCAGGATTGTAGTGCAGTACGTCCTGCTCTCCAATCTGCTGTTTAAAACTAAGCTCAGCTTTAGTGTAAATAATACTGAATATTAGAGATGGATGTGAAGCAGAAAACCAGTGGTTCATGATGGGCAGTGGGTGCATGTGCCCGGCTCCTGGAAGCAAAGCCAAACCACTTTTTCTGACTATGGCAGCAGAGGAGGAGGTAGTGTCAGGACCAGGTAGGGAAGCAAAACGGATGAAGCGTCAAGGGCAATAAAGTTTGGTGCTTCATTTTGCTTCAGCCAAACCATGAACTAAAGTACGAACCAGCCCAATTAGTCCATTTTTCTGGTTTGCAGTTTGGTTCATGCCCATCTCTATTAAATATCTTTCACAAAGCCAGGCAAACTAATGAACAAATGTACTGATAAAATGCATTCCAATGAAGAAAGCTTTCTTACCTGGCCATATGAAGAAGACCCATCACCAATACCAGACGTCTGTAAGCAAATAAACAAAAATCAGTGTTCCTTTTTTTAATGTTATGAGTCAACCAACAAGTCATATTAAGACAACAGAATGTTGCCTCTAAAGTTAGCATGAATTAAACTTATTAGACCAACGTTTACATATCAAGAAATGTTTAGGTAAAGGTGAGGAGGAACCACTATAACTCCTGAGCATTCTGGCCTCTGGAACTTACTCCAAGCAGGAAGCCATACTCCTACAGTGGTAAAAACATCTCCTGGCAGCCCTTCAGTTAATAGAGTGAAGAGAAAGGTTGTAGACTACTACACCTTTCTTTCCAGATAAAAGTGCTCTAGAGCAGTGGTTCTTAACCTGGGCGATAATGCCCCCCAGGGGGCGATTTCATTTTTCAGGGGGGCGGTAGAACGAAAAGGGGCGGCG